ATTCTTCCTTAGGGAGTTGCCTCTGTTCACAAGCAGACCATTAGCTCCAACTACTGGGCGTGGAGCTCCCTCTAACCAAACCTCCAGCTCACTGCCTGGGACACATTCGCCCCGACGCTTGTGGTTTTGACTTCTTGGCTGGATCCTGAAAATTAGTGGCGCGTTTGTTTGTGCGCGCACGTCTTTACGCTCGTGAGCGGAACATACTCGGACAATGAGCTGCTTTGTGTTTGCCCTTCCTGGTAGGACAAACTAAGGGTGAAGCCAGCAAGCTGGAAGTGAGGAAGGGCAAGAAAAGGGCGGCAGAGTGCAAGCCGGCAAGGTTATATTTTCATTCAGATCCTTGAAGAGGTGCTTTTATTCATTTGATAATGCACTAACACTGATTTCAGCGGAGTCAAAATTAATATTAATACAGAACAGAGAACGTGTCCAAAAGCATCATATCTCTGTTTCTACAGTTTTATTGAAACAAGGTGCTTCACTGACTACTAATAAAGTTGAGCTATTTTGATGGAGGATGTTTTAGGGCCCAGCTGTCATGTCGTTTCTTCACATCAACTCTGATTCAGATGATCTGCAGCAGGCAGCATCTAAACTACAATTTCAGGGGAAGCCTATGCTGTCATAGCAACACAGACAAAATCCAAGTGGTGTGTTCAAGTCCCGGTTGAAACTAACCCGTTTATGGATGTGCCCTAATGCGTGCTCAATCCAGGTAGATAAATCAGGTCCTCTGGAATGAAGGAATGTTTACGGATGCGATAAAGATTTAAGAAAGGCAGATTCATGTGTTTATTACACACATCTGGTGACATTTTAGTAGTGAAAGATGTAACACTGAACATGGCACACGTTTGGACCAGGAGATGTCAGCATTATTTATCTGACATCAACAGACATTGATGCTTACGAGTAGGAGTCCCAATTTGCAGACTATGGGTGTTTTCACACCTGATAGTCCGGTAGACTCGGTTCGATCAGGGACCAAAATTCAGAACATTTGTTTCCATTTTCAGCTGGTGTGGTTCACATTCACACTGCACTGAGTCAATCGAGCCAACCTGTTCCCCCCCCCCTCACCTGTGGTGGCGCTGCGCCAACAACTACTAAACGAAACAACACAAAAACCTCTGAAGAAGACACTTCTTCTTCTGGAAATAAAACAAAAACGGAGCGACGTCAAATTTGAGCAGTTTTAAAAGTTCTGTTTTGTCATTTTTCAACAATGGACTCAGCATGAGCGGAAGATAACGAGGCAGACGACCATGGAGAATGTCGTTTTTCCACACTAGGTGGCTGACTGCTCCATATGAGGTAAGAGAAATGTGCGTTTGTTTGTAGTCCACTTCCTGCTTTTGGAGCGGTCTCCGGTCCGCTTGCATTCACACTGCATTCGAACCGTGACAGAGTTCACTTCAACCGGACCGAGACCTAGGTATTTAGGCGGAGCAGAGTTCACTTTTTTGGTCCGCATCAGAGTTCGATTGCGCATTCACACCTCCCCAAACGAACCGGACTTTCTAAGCAAATGGACTAGAGTTCGATTAAAGAAACAGGGCTGGTGTGAATGCACCCTAAGATTCCTGATCAACTTTTAAGGTAGCATTTTTTTGTATGCACAACTTTTTGTATTTATGGTAATTCATCTTAGCTGGTGCAACTAATCCAGCATTTATGGTAATTCCCACACCTGGCACGTGAATTTGCTGTGCCAGCCCACGGAAAAGGTTCAGACAGCATGGTGAGTGAAGAAATTTATCATTGTTCTCACTAAAAGATAATTTAAATATGTATGTTATGGACCTTTGTTAAGAGTTTTAATTGAAAACCAGTGCTTTAGAGAATGCACAAGGACAGCAGACTCGGGAGATAATAAACAATCCAAGTTTGCTTCTTGCACTTGAAAGCATAAAAATCACAGAAGTTGCTCCGGATCCCCAACAGGGCATGTAGGCTGCATCCCATCAGGCTGAGAAAGCACATTTACTTTCACTTGAATTGTTCTCCCTCTTTGCTATATTTGTTATATGTTACAACCAACACGTCAGCGTTTTCTGTTATGAAGAACGATCCTCTTTTCAGCCAATTTATCTTTCCTAGCCTGCTGTGCGGCCATGTTGCCAGCACAACTTTCCATTTGTGTTACAGAAAAACGGGGTGGGTGGGATTTAAGGTCACAGAATTAAAAGTAGTGAACAAACAAAAACGGAAAGATGCATTTGTCAAGGACAAATGATCAGAATTACAAAATGTACTCTTTCATTTTCAGCACAACCATCAGACTGTGCTGAAACGCAGGCCTAGAGAAGTCAGCTGCAATAAAACACAGACTTTCCTGCTGCATTGCAATGCAGTGTGACACTGGGGATAAACACTGCACTCATACCGCCTGCAGAAAAACACCTATAAACACACAGAACAGTTAAGGTGGGCAGGCACGGGCACTCGCTGCGTAAAAACAGATTTTATCCCCGACACAGCTGAAAAACATCTTTAGATTCTTTGGTATAGGGCCACGTTATCGCTTATTGCTTTATTTATTTTTTGGATCTTACACTTTTTGTAGTTAAAGATGTATTGATATACTTTTGGACTACTTCAGGACAAAATCCTCAGAAGTTCTGGCTGTTTTATGGAAAGGGGGGGGGGGGGGGGGGCCGGGATAGACTGTTTACTTAAATTTTGTAAACATGAAAGCTAGTAAGATATCTTTTGTACATTTTTTTATTACAATATCACAAAGTTTAAGATAAAACAAAAAATAAAATTAAGAGGTTTAATGATAGAATTAGCAACATCACTGAGACAAAACAAACAATTACTTGAACAACCACAAGAGACCACTTGTCTGGGGAACACTGTACATTTAGTATTTAAACTAACAATTGCTGTTTTCTGATGGGGGGATTTCAAAAGTCATGCAGCCAAAGGGGATGTTGACAACATGACATTTTATACTGACAAAACTCATACTTTTATTTTGATTATTTCCAGAATGTTATCATAAAACTCAATTATAGCAGAGTTTAGGACAAAGATCACCTTAGGATGAGAAATGACAGGGTTTGAGTCAAACCTTGATTATAACGTTATGAACGATCACATGTGATATTGTGAGATGTTGCACTCACAGTATGTGTTGTAAGTGACTAATACACGTATTATTCTATATTATTATTGTTTAGCATATATCTTAGATCCTTGTATACTGTTTCTTTTTTATACATTATATATTTGTTATTGCTGGATGTAACTAGGATCTTGAGTGTACAATTTCGTTCCGCCTCATGTACCACATGTGATGCAAAATGACAATAACGTCAGCTTGAACCTTGACTCTACCACACTACAGTTTGAACAAATGCTTAAACTGGTCTCTCTTGTAAACGAGTCCTCGAGGCTCAGTGGGAACTAACCTGTATAAATAAAGGTTGAATGAAAGTTTAGCATAATATCTGCAAAACTGTCTTGAGTTACAGCTATTTGTATGTTTTCTAAGACAGTTGACCGCCATCGTAAAATGGGTTGGCTCCAAACATTAATGGGATATTTTGATAAAAGGCAGACTCGAACAAAAAAAAAATCTTTCCCCTTAGATTTCTGGCAATATTTAGTAAAATAAATATTAATCTTTGGTTAGTTTGATCTAGCTACTTTGACTTGTTAAGTTGAAGGCGGCTATCTTGAAACTATTTGAAAAATGTAACAACTAACAAGGAAATGTTGTGAAATAAAGCTGCCGGACAAACTCCTAACTTTTGGTAAACTGCTGGACGACAACGAATATTTGCTGTATATGAAAGATCTGAGGTCATCTCAAAAACAAGCCATACAGCTCTTTTCTCCTGCTCAGGTGTGCGTGCAGGTGCGTATGCAGGTGTACAGAACATTTGATCATTCCTCTCTTTTCTTGACAGGTCTATCTGGGTCAACCATCTGGAGAGTTGCCAAGGCCTTGCCAAAATAGGCAGCTTGCCATTGCAGGTGGCTTGCAACAAAAAAACGAACGCATAAATACACAGAAAAGCATAAAGCTGACAGGTAACATCTGTATTGCTTTTGCCCAGAGCCATATGACTGACTGTGGCTAAGAGTGGGCTGAACACAGGAATAAAATGCTTGATAACTAGTCTGAATGCAATTATGGGGGAATGTGTAAATGCATATGTGTGCTTACATAAACTCACTGGATACTCCATCACTGTTCAATCTCACTGGGGAGGAATGAGGATCTGAGGCTCATTAAGAACATCCAAGATGGAGACTAAATCTAGCTTGACGATGCTTTCCAAGCTCGTTTTCCCTGTGCTGCACAATGGTAGTGCAAAATGTCCCAGACTTCTACTATTCAATGGTTGGGGATAAGATTACCGCAGAGGTAGTAAAAAAAACTAGGCCACCACATGTTGTGTCCATGTGTGCGTCTTGTACTGCATGAGGTTAAAACTATAAGACGTAAAATAGGTTACATCTTTTACGTGTGGCATTTACAAAAAAAAATTAAATAAAAGACAAACTGCTCCTGAATAACCAGCAAAAAATACATCTTTATATGAGCACAAACTTCCACATTTTGTGTTACATTTAACTTTGCAATGTGATGCATTTTATTTGAATTAAATAAAAACACAGGAACATTATTTCTTGGGGGTTCTGAGATAACCAGCTCAGCCAAAGCAGATAGAAACACATGAACGGAAAGCGGGAAAAAAAAGAAGAAACATGCTGCGACAGCCAGGAGGTAGCCGTTAACAATTTATCTACACACGATTGGGACCTGGAATCTAACGTTCTCTGAAAAGATGTATTTTTCTTCATGGGAGCAATATCTGATTTTGAGTTGACCTGGAACTGAGCTACAGGAGGGCTGCAACCCGTTCTCTTTGGCATTAATAGGAATAAAGCTGCTGCTTTCTGTCTCACGCTCTAGGGAACAAATGAATGTGCGGTGAAGCAAAGCTACTAGACAGTGTAGGTTGCCGAATATTAGAACTTACCGATGGTGGTACTCCCTGGATAAGAGCCACTGAGATGTTTTTTAGCCCCCTGCTGCTCCAGGACTCTCTTTCAGGCAGTGGATTTCTCCGATTCAATTCTCTGAAGCAGAATAAGAAAATAAAATCAAACTTTCGAAACATCGAGCTGAACGCCTGTATGACTCTTTGCACAAGTGCCAAACAACTGCACACATTTGAAAAAAGGTATTTGGAAAGCAACAGTAACACTGCAAATATAAACATGTGTCAGTCTCCAGGAGTGATGATGTGAAACATGGACAGATGTTCCTGTGACACTCATCTTCTTCCCCCTGCCAGGCATCCCTTCCCCCGCAACTCCCCTGATTTCCACTCTTTGTTTTCCATTTTCAAAATGTTCGCTTGACTGCCAAAACTAACATTTTGGATACCTGGCGTGCGCTGAGAGACCTATATGAAACCAATGCATTTCTTCCAGTAGAACACTGGTCCCACATGTTGGGTTACTCTTGGTTACAGCAGATAAATCATAAGACCGAACCGGGGTGTGAAAGTTGGCGACTCTAAATTACAACAAAAAAGGCAAATTTTTGGTACAATTCTATGGGGTGCCGTTTGTAAAGTTACACAGTCAAAAATTAACAGAAATATTTTGGTGTATTAGCCTTTAATACGAAAAAAATAGCTTTTTTTAGTCAGTCATATTTTCACAACGTCATTCATACATTTATAAGTGTCATAGTTCCAAACTAATATTTAATTTGCAAGCTAAATATTTAGCTTACAAACAAAATGTTTATGTCCAAGATAAATGTTTAATTTACAAACTAAATATTTAACTTGCAAGTTAAACATTTAGTTAATGAACTAAATATTTAGGTGTAAATTAAATATTTAATTTCCAAGCTAAATATTTATTTTCTAAACTAAACATTTAATTTACAAACTAAATAGTTGTTGTCCAAGCTAAATATTTAATTTTCAAACTAAACAATTAATTTACAAAATAAATATTACATTTTCTAACTAACCGTTTAGCTCAGACCTAAATATTTATTTTTCAAACTAAACATTTAATTTTTAAAATAAATATTTAATTTAATAACTAAATATTTAGCTTGCAAGTTAAATATTTAGTTTGTAAATTAAACATTTAGCTTGGACATAAACATTTAGTTTGTAAACTAAATATTTAGTGTGGAACTAAATATTTAGCTTGCTAACTAAATATTTAACTTGCAAGTTAAGTATTTTGTTTGTAAACTAAATATTTAGTTTGGAACTATTTACAAACGTATGAATAACATGGTCAAACTATGCCTGGAAAAAAAATCTGTTTTTCTTATGAAAGGCTAAATAAATCAAAATATTTCTGTTAATTTTTGACTGTGTAACTTTACAAACGGCACCCCATACAATCCCACAATATTTTGAGTGTTTGCCATCAACTGACCAGGGAGATGTGTAGCCATGTTTAGTGCAGCCATTTTTTTTTTATTACAACTTATTTACACATGCTTGGCTTGCAAAGCTTTAAACTGGGTCATGCACATCATGCCATACTACTAATGCCTAAAAAACACATGATCTCTTCCTGAAGAGAATGACGAATCTCAATTTCTTTTGATCAATCCACCGTTCCATTTGGGGCCATTAATTCAAACATTTAGTGGAGTCACTACTGAAGGATGAATGTTGATTGAATGGGGTTCCGTTTTTAGTATTTTATTTGATGTACATGTTTTTCTTTATCTTTTACTTTGAATTTATGTCTGATGGTTTTGATTTATTTGCATTTTATATGTGCTCACTTACCCAGTGTCTGCAGATGTGATTTAGCCAGTGGTTGTTTCTTTTTATAGGATTAATGTTTATTTAAAAGTGAGCGTGCACATAAGCTAAACTAAAATTACATATTTCTCTGTCATTAACAGCTGGAAGCCACTGCATCAGCATAGAGCTGCAAAGTGGCCTGAAGGACACATAATTTAATAGCAACTTGCTGACTCAGGAGGGTTTCAATGTCATTTACCCATCTGGTCATTCAAGGTGAACCGGGAGCAAGGATGGAGAGAACGAGGGGGCAGATAATAAAATGAGACAATGCGACAGTCAGAGTGCTGGAGAGTGAAAGTGGATGTAAAACTGAGTGTGTCGTGGATTCAAACGAGAGAAAATGAAACCAACTGAATGCCAAGTAATGCTACAAAATCAAAAGTATAAAATTGGAGGCCTAACAGAACCCTAAAACACTAAATTCAGACAGCTTTTAAGACTGTAAAATATACAGAGTAATATGATCAAATGTGTAAATAGATGTAAAAAAAAAAAGGGTATTGTTAAATCTTACTAAATAATTCAGAGCACATATTGTTATAAAACGGATAACATATGCAGATGTTTTAAAAACCAACCAATTTGCAATAAAATTAATCTTCAATTTTCTTCCACTAAATATGAATAAATGATCAGCAGGAGTCCCGACTATTGTTTTCCTTCGTCTATTTTTAACTCCTAAAAAGTGAAAACATGTTTGTTTAAGCTTCTATGCAAGCTGTCTTCTAAATGAGTCATCCTGTGTTTGGGACTAAATTATAACTAAGCAGAACAAATATTTAAAGATATTATTAGGGAAATTAGAGCCTGATGGACACGACTCTCTCAGAACACATTTTCTATATAAGGGGTGAGTAACGTTTATTTCCCAGAAGGCCAAATCAATATATTCAAGCAGAGAGCCACATGGAGAATTGAAAAATACAATTTTCTTTAAGAATATATTTTTGGAAGACATTTTCCAAGTTTTATTTTTGTTTGCACAGATCCATTCCAATAATCTGCTAACAACCAAATAAATGTTTAGCTTAGCAGATTAGCGAAGTCATCCTAATTGCACCATTATATTCCACCATGTTGCTGTTTACTATATTTACTATGTAAATATTATATTTCTTTTTCAATGTTTGGTACTTTATTTTGTACCCTCATCACTTGCATGCTTTAGTATTTCTTTTCTTCTTTTTCCCCACCTCATCTTGAACATGTCATTGCATTGCTGACCATGTGTTAACCTGCATATGACAAATAAACAACATACCGTGTTCGATAACTTTGGGAAACTGTTCGCTAATTTAGTTTCCACTAAATTACAGTTTGCCAACTTTAAGTGCACTAACAAAATTCACAAGCTTGTTCTTGTCTGTAGTGGTCGTGACTCACAGAGTCCGTTAGGCATGATATTGGCTTACTATGAATACACGTGACAAGATGTGATTGATTGACGCAGCTTCATCTGGAAGGAGACGAAGTCGTGTGACACAGATCGAGAGACAGTTGTCTTAGCGGTTAGCGGTTTTGAAGCTAACTTTTTGGTTAGCTGTGCCCACCACTGCTCTTTAGAATTATGACATACTTTCTGAAAACTGGCTCTTGTGGCAACACATTAGTCAGTTTAATTATTTGGAGTCTTTCAGGTTCAGTCTAAAAATCTGAAAACACGACTTTAGAAAGGGGGTTAGGCTTCAAATGTTTCCAATGTATTTGTCCAAGATGTTTAACTTGGACCTGTGTCATCGATGAAATGCAGGTTTCCATCAATTTATTTAAAAGTAGTTTTCTTTTTTGATGAAGAATATTTGGGGTCATATGGAGATTGTCTAAGGGCAAATTTTGGTCCTCAGGCCATATGTTGCCAATGAATGAACTACTTGAAAACTTCCATTTGATTAATTAAATTATCATTTTAAAGTGTTTTGTAAAAATACAAGTATCTTTAAACACAAACACAAGAAATAAAGTATTCTGACAAACTTCATATCATACAAAGAAAAAAAAAAGCTCTGACTGTGAGATATCTTTATTTTAATCCCTTATAAATATAAGTTATTCTGTTAAACATAAACAGTTCTGTTTTTTTTTTATTGATTTGTTTTTCTTTTAGGTAAAATGTGCTGTTCAAATTTGCACTGATCTCAGCCAGTAGTCTAAATTTATTCTGTGTGGGAAGTTGCAGAGAACGATGTGTGTGAGAGTTAATGTGAGCATATGAGAACAAGAGACTAAAAATACATTTGTGAAAAAATTAGTTTGGGAACTTCTAAGTATGGCTGCTTAAAATGAATATGGTGATTTTGGTGGTGGTTCAGATTTGATTGATGGCGTTTCAGTCAATCTGGGAAATAAATCTTCTGAAATCTCCATCAATCTATGGCTTAATGTTTCCAACACAAACAGGATTTTAATGTTTTAACATAATGGCACTGGGGGAAAATATTAGTTTCAAAGAAGGATGTTCTCCCTGTAACAGCGTCTCTGGAGGGCCACCTTGTTTGCTCCAGTTTCTTTTGTCAGGCATGGATGCTTCAGCGCTGACAGGGAACAACCCATTTAACTTGAGAGCAAATTGTCTCTGGAGCTGCACAACTTTCCTCAAAACAACTTTTTCTGTTTTATTTTTCTTGTTAAATGTCTTTTAATGAAAAGGGGCCGCTGTGGTGTAGAGATAGGGCAGCTGACTTGGGACCAGGAAGTAGCAGGTTCAATTCCACGTTCATTCGTTGTGGTGTCCTTGAGCAAGACAGCTTATCCATAACTGCTCCCTGGGCACCTACATAGCTGCCCACTGCTCCACCTGGGTGTAACTCACGTGTGATGGGTTAAATGCAAAGCACAAATTTTGTCATTATATAGAAGCATACAATGATGACAGCACATAGCACTTTCTTCTTCTTCTTTCTTTTATTCTAAGTGGTCTGGTCTGGTATCTGATACAACATTTAAGGACCTCTTTATCACAGTTGCAGAGGTTTAAGATCCAGGATGCAGTCTGGACTCGAAGTGTTAAAATTCTGTTATACATAATACTTTTATTTACAAAAATATAAACAAAAATGCTGATGTGATAACCAGAAACTTAAAAAACTTAGGTCTTTCTGTGTTGTTTGCATGTTCTCCTCGTGTTTGCGTGGGTTTCCACCCACAGTCCAAAGGTCCAGGCCTCCCGTGCAAAAGAGATCTGTGATCTCAATGGGATTTGCCTGGTTAAATAAAGCTTAATAAAGCACATGTAACAGAACTCAAACACAAAGATCCCAAAACACAGTAAAGATACAACCTAAATAA